GTTTGAGTCGCGGGGGAAGCAGGCCTTGTAGGTGGGAGGTTGAGGGGGGGAGGGGGGGGAGGGGTGAGGGAACGGGAAAAGATGTACGATGGAATACCCCAGAGGAGACAACATGTTGAAGTTTTGTATCAGATAGCCCTGCAGATACTTCTTTACCAAATACAGCTGCAGCCTGTGAGCACGCCACGGCAAGAACGAGACGATTGTTTTTGCGTAGCACAGGTTCCTCGATTGCATGTCCTGCGGAACATTTGAGTGACATAATATACAATGAATTTGAAGAGGAATAAAATATGCCGACAACGATCGACAAGCGCAGTAGACAGAAAGAACAACAGTAGAGCACCATACTTTTCATATTGCCTATGCTCTTCTCCTGCTCTTTGGTCTGTTCCCGTGGATCCACAAACACCATGCGAGCTTCGTCCACGCAACCCTCGCCCTCGTTTTTGCATCTACGCCGCCACCGGCTTCTGCGCATACACAAACAGGTGCGTCTCCTCCCACACCTCGTCCGGCGCGCAGATGCCCACCTCGGCGCCCTTGGGCGTGAACGTGGTCACGCCGTCGTAGCGCACCTCCAGGCCCGCCGCCTGGACCGCCGCCACACCCTCCTCGGGCGACAGGCTCGACACCACCACGGGGCGGCCCATCCACTTGATGGCCTCGTTGTTGACGGGGATCGGGACCGTCGAGAACACGAGGAAGCCGCCGGGCTTGAGCAGGTCGGCGAGGCCCGCGAGGACGGCGCGAATGTCGTCTTGGGTGACGCCGGCGATGAGCGAGAAGAAGACGGTGACGGCGTCCAGCGTGCCCTGGCGGCCCGCGGCGGCCTCCCGCTGCAGGTAGGCGCGCACGTCGATGAGCTCGAAGCGCGCGTTGGGCACGCGCGCGCGCGCCGCCGCCAGCATGGCCTCGGAAACGTCAATGCCCAGCACGTCGTGGCCGGCGTCCGCCAGCACGCTGCAGGCCGGGCGGCCCGTGCCGCAGCCGACATCGAGAATCTGTTTCTTGGCCTTGGCCGCCGCGTCGCCGTTGGACGGCAGCGACGACGGCGGCGGCGCATCGCGCAGCTGCTGCACCAGCCACGCCAGCGCCTCCGCCTGCGTCGGCAGGCCCTTGAAGGCGTCCTCGTAGGCCGGGCCGACGCTGTCAAACGCCTCGGCGGCCGTCAGGTTCTTCTGGGTCGGCGCCCCGTCCATTGTGTCGGGGGTTTGTGCGGCGTCCGAGTGATGTGGGGAGCGGGGGAGAAGAACAAAGGATCGTCGCGCGGCCTCGGGTAGGACGAAGAAGAGGAAAGGAGACGAAAGAAGCACAAACAAAGAGAGGCGTTGGCTGCAAAGGACGAGGAGCAGGAGGAATAAACGATGCACGATGGAGATGGGAACCCGTTTATGAATGGACGCAGGACAGTACGAAACGAGAAAAAGAAAAGCAAAGACAAAAGAAGAAAGAAAGCGCGGCACGCGAGATGCGTGGCCGGCAAGCATGGAAGCAAGGGGGCTTTATGAGACTGAACGGCGGGTCGGCCAACCACCACGAGAAAGCGAGACACAACGACGCACTATGGACAGACGAGGAGAGGACTAGACGAAAGAAGAGGTTGTTCGTGGGGTAAAGGTGTCATCCCTCTTGGTCGTCATTTTCTGGCCACCTCCATCCCCCGTGGACTTTCTGTCAAGCCCAGCACGTATCTCCCTTGCATGTACGTACATACGAAGTAGCTCGTGGAGCATGAGCAGAGTCGGTGGGTTCAGCTCGACCGTTGAAAGAGGAAACGGCACTGTCGATCCTTGCAGCTGCTCGTTGTTGGACGACTCTTTTTTTGTCATTTTATATTCTCCTTCTTACTTTCTTTTGCCTTGCTTATTTCCGCCCTTCCTTTTCCGCCAACACGCTCGCTTCTTCCAAAATCAAGGAGGATGTCAAAAGAACAGAAAACGTCAAAAAAGAACCCCGAGGACCACATCAGACAGAACAGCTCCCGAATACTGGCCACCTAACTTGCCTTGGAATAGCGTCCAGAGCAGATCCAGGGCCCAGTCAGAGTGTGGGGTCTGGCCCCATTCAGCTGCGCGCGAACCCACTAAAAGACATGCGGTAAGCTGTGATAGCTAGCGCTACATGGGGGCGCTATCCAGCCTCCCGACGCAAGGGCCAGGGGCTTTGTAGGCCTGAAGGGTGCCTGTGCCTGTGTAGGCGCAAAGTCGGTAGAAGCTGAAATGGCAGTAATCGAGGCTCAAAAGACGAAGCTGTCCAATGTCTTGTTCGACCTCGACGGCCTCGTTGAGCTGACGGAGGACGGAGGAATGCGGCATACGCAGTGCCGACTTTCCCTTTTTCGACTGGTCCCTCGCATCTCTCCTTGGACGTGCAGCATCGCTCCGAATGGTCGTACATTTCCCTCATGCACGACCTGACTTTCGTCACAATTGCGCAGACACGTTGACCACATTGACCACGTTGACCACGTTGACCACGTTGACCACGTTTTCTCGTTTCTCGTTTCTCGTTTCTCGTTTTCCCGTTTTGATACCAGCGCCCTGCTTATCGTGTCCTTTTTCTGGCTGCTTGCATCCTGCATCCTGCACCCACGCGCCAATGGACTGTCTTGCCTGCAAGTGGGCTTTGTTCGTCCCCTCCACCAAGTCGGATGTATGGCAATGGCTCGTCACCCTCAGTCATTAAGACGGCTCGATCTCGAGTTCATGTGAGCGACGCATTCATACCGATCACTTCTCAGTGCCATTGCCTCATTGTGATGAATCTCGCAACACAAAGCGTGAGACCATCGCGGAGTACAAAATACAGCTTGTTGTAGTCGCACCTCCGTCCTCCTCCGTGCTCCAACTGCGTTCTGTCAGTTCTTAGTATTACATGTTCCTTCGGCAGACGCTGTTGCATTGGCCACGGACGACAACACTCCCAACGCTACGGTAACTGACACACGCTGCACATCGCATCCACGGAGTCCGGGCCAACGCCCTCCATCCTCCCTCCTCGTTTGTCTTTTACTTCTTCTGGAATTGTTCTGTCTCTGCCGATCCTTGCGACCCTAGATGGTTTACGAAATCCCACGTGGATTGTCCAAGACAAGGCCATTGTCCATTGTCCATTGTCCATTGTCCATTGTCCATTGTCCATTGTCCCCATACAATCGACAATCTTCTGTGGTCGAATCGGCAGAGCGGCTGTGCCCTCCGTGCCCTCCCGGCTGGCGATGCGTACGGCGGAACGTCAAAACAGTGTAGCATCACTAGTTTTGCCATCTCAATGTCGTTCACGTGTGGAGTTTAGTAAACATTGGCAGTCGAGAGATGCCGGGACGTGGTGGTAGCCCGCGATGGACTCTGCAGTCTCATATTCAAAACACAATCTCACACATTTTTGCCTCCGCCACCCCACTGATTGTCGCTAGTTTGAGTACAAAGTACTTCGTAATACGGTCCGCTCGAAAATCCCCCGCGTCCCGTTCCTGTCAGCACTTAAAATAAATTGACTGTCGTCGGTATCTGAACATTACACGTTTTATGTCGCAGCGTTGCAGTGTGCTGACCGCCAAGGAAGAACATCTCAGTATATGGGTATGACGACATGTAACTCTTCCTTCTCGGATAACAACGTCACAACAGTCTACGTCAATGTACACTCTTCTTTTGTGTACGATCATATGCCGTACAGATTGTGAACGAAGTGGCACAAGAGCTTGCGTATTTCTGGCATGCAAAGCGCGGCAACTGTCGGATTGGCAGTCCCAGTCGGACGACACGTTTGGACTTTGAACTTTGCCCGCTTGCCCGCTTGCACGCTGGACATCGCTCGCCTCTGCATCTCTCGTCTTGTTGGTCGTAGCCCAACGAGCCCACCAGTCCTGCCGATCCCGCTACTGATCCAATCGTCCCCGTGGCCAAGAAAGGATCGCAAAACAACCGCTGCCGGCCGACAGACATTGTAAGCGCCCATTTGCCCCCCGTTGTTACGCATCGGTGTGGAATGTGCGCCAAATTGGTACAGTTCGTACAAAGGCCGCTAAGCAGCGGCACATGAAGGCAACCGAACCGGAGGCATTCCTCTGTCTTCCCCGGAAAACAGACGCAGATCATGGAGAGAGAAAGGAGGGGAAAGACGGGAACAGGGAACATGGGGCAAGTTCTACATCGCAGCAAAGAACTGCGATCATTTGTTTGGCCTCGTTGTGAGCGCATCTGTTCATCTTTTGGGTCTGTCATGGATATGGCGTCCGCAGATACGACAGCGGCTAGATAAGTGAACGGACAGCTCAACCTGCGCGATGTCACCGTGTTTGTTTGTAAGCAGCTGGTGTACGACGTATTGGGTCTGAGAAACGGGGAGACGGATTCAGACAACAAAGTACGAATTATGCTGCCTGCAGAAAACATGCGCCATGCCGTTGCCGTTCGTCCCTTCCTCAACACAGTCCCTGTACACTTTCCCCATTCGGGTCAGTTTTGCCCGCCAGCCTGTCGCATGCCCAGCAGAGTCGCCCCTTCCCACGATAGCTAAGCTACCCTTACCTACCGTCCCAAAATTCGGAAAATCCTCCGCAACGGCTTGTGACAGTAAACTGCAACATTATCCGACACCGCAGCTCAAAATCATTGGGAACTGACATGTATTGCGACAGTTCGTCCGGGGCCAGACACTGGTGATTGTTCCGGCCTTTCCATATATTTCTCTTCTTGATTTTCTTTTGCTCTTTCCATTTTGGACTCAGTCGACTCCGCCAGTCTTCGTTCCTTCCCCCCCAGTTCCAAAACGGCATACGCCCTTCATAGCTCTTTCCACGCTTTCGGTTAACGCTTCTTTCCTCCCTGCAGATTTGTACTTCAGGTCCATACCTCTTTCCCCTTTGGCTTTTTCTGCTCTTTCCAATTCCAACTGCGACTCCTTTTCTATTTCCCGTGGTCGCGTCGTCTCCTCTCGTTTCTGTTTCTCCTTTCTTCTCCTCTCTCTCCTCAACAACAACACTACCCTTCGCCATGGGCTCCGCCAGCGTCGAGGAGCTCGACGTCATCATTGTGGGCGCCGGCCTGTCTGGCCTCAACTCGGCCTACCTGCTCAAGAAGCAAATCCCCGACGCCAAATTCGCCATCCTCGAAGGACGCAACATCATCGGCGGCACATGGGCCTTTTGGAAGTACCCTGGCGCCCGTTCCGACTCGTCGGCGACTGTCTTTCGCTTCGCATGGCACCCGTGGCCGCATGACTTGAACTTCCCGGACGCGCCCCTCGTGCAGGCCTACGCCGAGGACGCCGCCAAGGTGCACGGCCTCGACAAGCACATCCGCTTCAACAACAAGGTCGGCGACCGGCGGTGGTCGACCGCGGAGCAGATGTGGACCGTGGACGTGACGGACGCCGAGACGGGTGCGCAGCTGCCGCCGATCCGCGCGCGGTGGCTGGTCAACTGCAGCGGGTACTACAGCTACGAAGAAGCCCAGAAAGTCGAGATCCCGGGCATCAAGCAGTTCCGGGGCGAGGTCGTGCACCCGCAGTTCTGGAGCAGCGACATCGACATGAAGGGCAAGAACGTCGTCATCATCGGGTCGGGCGCCACCGCCATCACCATGCTGCCCCACGTGAGCAAAGTGGCCAAGCACACGACCATGCTCCAGCGCAGTCCGTCGTACGTGATGGCGCTGCCCCGCAAGGACAAGATGACGCACCTGCTGCAGCGGCTCCTGCCGCGCCGCCTCGCCGACTGGATCGACTGGTACCGCCAGATGTTCCTGGAGTCGGTGTTTGTGTGGTGGCTGCAGACCTTCCCGGGTGCCGGCCGCTGCTTGCTGCGCGCATTGACGAAGCGGCGCCTGCCCAGCGACCTGGACGTCGATGTGCACTTCAAGCCGGCCTACAACCCCTTTGAGCAGCGTCTGTGCCTGTGCCCCGACGCCGACTTCTTCAAGGCGCTGCAGAACGACCCCTGCACCATCGTCACAGACCACATTGACACGGTGACGCCGACGGGGATCCGCCTCAAGGGGTCGGGGGACGAAATCCCGGCCGACATGATCATCACGGCCACGGGCCTGTACGTGCAGCTGATGAACGGCCGCATTCCCCTCGTGGACGGCAAGCCCATCCGCGTCACCGATCTCTACGGCTGGCGCTCGTGCATGATCGAGGGCGCGCCCAACCTGTGCTTCATCATTGGCTACACGACGGGCACCTGGACGCCCGGCGCCGACGCCCACTTCCGGACGGTGCTGTCCGTCATGAAGGAGATGCGCAAGCGCGGCGCCACGTCGGCCACGCCGACCATCGACCCGGCCGTCCGCAAGACGATGCCGAAACTGCCGGCCGTGCCCGTCACCTCGGGCTACCTGGTGAACGCGCGCGACCGGCTGCCCATGTCGTCGGGCCGGTACCCGTGGTCGACGGGCCTGACATACGCTGCCGATGCATGGCACAACCTGACGGGCAACGCGCACGACGGCATGGTGTACACGGTACCGAACAAGAAGCGGCTATGAGGGAGAACAGAGCGGTAGCGAGGCAAGGGTCCGACGTTACTGTATGGAGTCGGTTTTATAATGGATGATTTTGGTTCCTTTTTGGTTGGGTCTCTACCGTCACGCAAGACATCCCGATTTCACATCCTTCTTAGTCAACACAATGTGTCAAGTTACATATTTTGGATTTGCCTTGGGCATTGGTATTGGTATATCAACATACAGAAAACTAACAAAACGCAAAAAGAAACGCAAACGCCAGTTGTGTGTATCCAGGCCGTGTTCTATCATGATAGAATGCAATAAACATTAAGTTGGGAAAGGCGAAGCGACCGACCACCCCGCTTACAGCAGCGACAGGACGGCCTGGATGCCGACCAGACCAAACAGGGCGGCGGCCGACAGAGGCAGCAGACCGCCGGCCGCAGCCGACTTCTGGGCGACGTTGCACTCGCCGGTCAGGTTGTAGTTGCCGCCCTTGGCCAGGACCTGCTCGTTGCTGCCGCAGTTGGCGGCCTGGGCCATGTAGATGTTCTGGTTGTCCTGGTCAAAGACAACATAGGCCGAGCGCAAAAAGGTGTCGCCGAGCAGCGCCGTGGTGTCCTCCGAGGGCAGCGCACCGACGGCGCAGAGGTCGCTCGTGGCGGCCCAGATAAAGTCGGACAGCGGCACGGACACGACGAGCGAGCCGAACGTGAAGTCGACGTAGCCGCCCTTGTCGCCAAAGTTGCAGTCGACAATGAGCGAGCCGTCGGACTGGGGCTTGACGCCGAAGCTCTTGGCCAGCGCGTCCATGACCGGCTGGGGCAGGTAGCTCAGGGACGAGCCGCTGTCGAGGACAATGGGCAGGCTGCTGCCGCTGTACGTGTCGGACGTGGCCTTGCCCGGCTGCGTGAAGCCGACCGCGTCGAGCTGCACCCAGTAGCGCCACGGCCGGCCCGGGTCGCCGGCCTGGGGCGGCAGGTTGTCGAACTTGACCAGTGGGCCGGCAAACTTCTTGGTGTCGACGCCGCCAAAGATGACGATGCCGTTGCCAATGTTCTTGCCCGGGTCCTCGCGGCCCGTGTCCGACGTGGCGCTGCCGAGCGCCAGGCTCAGCGTGCGCGAGTTGGTCACGCCCTGGGCGAGCAGCTCGTCGACCAGGTTGTTGTAGTCGAGGTTGAACTTGTTGCCGAAGCCGACGCCCAGGATGGGCACGGCGGCGTCGTCGCTGGCCGTGGCCACGCCAAACTGCACCTTCTTGAGCGTCGAGTTGTCCGAGCCCGGCACCACAATGGTGTCGCTGACATAGGCAATGTCGGCGCTGCCGCGGCCGTACGCCAGCTGCGTGGTCTCCTCCAGGTCGACAAACGTGCGCGACTTGTTCGGGTCGTACGTGCCCAGCGACTCGCAGAACTGCTGGCTGGCCGACGTGGTCACGGTGCTGCAGTCCGGGTCGACCCAGAGCTCGTTGGAGCCCGTGTCCAGCTGCACGCGCACCGTCTGGACCGGCGTGCCGAGGCCGAGCTCAATCATGTAGGCGACGTTGGTGTGGTTGTACAGGACGGCCTCGTCGTCGCGGCGGGCCACGCCCCGGCGGCGCACCGGCGGGCCTTGGTACGTGCGGCGCTCGACAATGGGGAAGCTGAGCAGCGAGCCGGTGTCGGGGGTGCGAGCGGCGACGCCGGCGTCCACAGCCGGCGCGGCAGGGACCACAGATGCCGACACGGCCGACAGGGCCAGAGGGAGGAGGTAGCGAGACATGTTGGCGTTGAAGTGAGGAAGACTTGTGAAAAAACGACAAGGACGAATGGCTCGACTCGACGACAATTAAGGCTATTCACACTTTCACTTCAATGTCATCACGGAAATTTGAATGGCAAAAGGGGGGGCGACGGCGCGCCTATTTAACTCCATGTCGAGCCTCACACATGACGACCAAAGGACCCTCTTGAGGGCTCTCGATGGATGCAGGACGAAGGACAAAATACGGGGACAAGCGAGCAAAACGTCCATCGCAAGCCCCAATGTACATGTAGGCCCCCCCCATGCTCGTTGCCAAGACCAAATAAGATTGCCACCAGGCAAAAGAAAGGAAGGACGGAGGACAAAAAAGGCAACAAGGGTCCACCAAAAAGGCGCTGGCACCGCCCCCATGTGGGCGAACCGCGACGAAAAGGTGGGTACAGGCGCGTGAACAAGGTCACCTTGGGAAGAGACGAGGGAAAATGAGAGAGAGTCAGAAGGAACGAGTCAGAAGGAGGAACCCGGTCGCCAAGCCGCCCCAGGCAGACGGTTGGCCTCGCAAGGAAAAGGAAAGCGGAAAGGCACTGATAAAGACGCGAAATGCAAAAGAAGGGAAAAGAGAGGACAAGACAAGAGAGAGAGCGCCAGTGGCCGTGACAGCGGCTGAACTGAAATACAGTTGATGCGGCCGGTGACAGGCCCACTGTCGAGGCTAACTCGAGCTTGTTTCTGCTCTTGTTCCGTTTTGTTTCTTTTGTTGGACCGCAGTCGACTTGGCGCAGTTCTTGGCGAAGGAAGATGAAAGGGGGAGAGGAGAAGGGCAAGAAACGGTACTGGTACGGTCTTGGCAAGGCTTACAGGCAGCAATGGGGGTGGCTTTGGGCCGATGTTGATTCGCTCAAATCGCTCTTTTGGTTATTTCGATGCCATTGAGGCAGAGCCCCAAACCCCGGAAATGGGAAAGAGGGAAGAGGAAACAGGAACGAAGAAGGAGAGACACCAGAAAGGGACCCAGCGGCACAAGCGGTCATGTTTGAGGCAGACGAGAGCAAAAAATTACGACGAGGATACTTCGTAGTGACTGCCAGCGACCAGGTCAGGAAGGACCGCCGATGGACAACACACGCCTCGATCCTTCCCAAACGAGTCTGCTCTGCGGAGTGACACGACAGGCGCCAAGCGGGCCATACGGGCCATGCGGGCCATACGCGGGTCAGCCGCATTCATGCGAGGAAGGTGCAATGGGACAGCAGGACGCCAGAAATAGGGGCGCGGTCTGGTAGTGACAGCAGGGATAACTTGGACGTGAGGCCAAACGAGTATGGTATACGATTTACGACGAACGACATTACTCGAGTCAACAAACTCGGTCAATACAGTGCAGGCTCCAATCTGCCAGCCAGTCCTGCCTTAGCCGCCCATTAAGGCCAACCGACCAAGATCTGTCGATCGAGTCATCTCACATGGACTCGTACAATGTGGCTTCCTCATTATCGCACAGCCTTCAATAATAGGCGTAGACAAATCAAAAAATAAAAAAACAGTCAACTGAGGAAATCGACCTCCCCCATATGGCAACGGCCAGAATGGCTTCAGGCGCCCAGAAACGTCTTGCCGCATTCCCCAGACCAAGAGTTTCGCAGCCAAGACGCCCAAGACTCCCCAAGGCGCCAACCAGCCCAAGCCTCCCAAGCTTTTGTGCCAAGATGCCGACGATGCTTGTGGTTCTTGTTGATTCTCGGGGCTTCACCAAATCCGACGTATGTTCCGAATTTTCGGCAGGTACCTCCGCCATAGTCCAGCGCCTGTCCAGTATTATTTTCATGTTTATTTTTATTCACGAAATCCTTTCTTGCACTGCCTGCCACCTCACGCAGCGGAAAACAACCTTAAAATACAAAATAGGCCCACTAGCGTGCTGCACCGGCGTTTTTGTGCCCTCTCGACGTTGTGCACGACTCTTGGCCGGCCATACCTTTTTTTATTGCATTTCCAATTCCAGCCCTGAATATGGCTGGGTTGGGGTTTTCGGTTCTCATTTCAATGGAGGCTCAAATCTAGTGACTTTGCGACCATATTCCGAACGGCAAGGACTACAGCTCCTGAATGGCGAGTAAGAAAATGACTCTCGAAGGATTATGCTTAGACCGTGGTTAGCCCTTTTGCCGATCTTCTGGGCAGACATTTAGCACATCCCCTGACCTGCCAACTTTAATTACACAAAGAGGCCTTGGTGGAAGGATTGCAGGCGAGAAGGATACGTCAACAGAGAAAGGACACTATCGGGGCCACCATGCCGACGCCGTTCAGAGTCAAACGGTCAATAGGCGTTGCAAAGAGAATCACCAAAACACGGAGTAGGCCATAAAGAGCGAATCCAACTGTACCAAATACTCCGTACACGAACAATAATAAGGCGAGCCGTCTTCGGCCTCGCAGCCACGAGTGCATTTTGTGCACAGCCTCTCTCTTTTCAAGTGTTGACTACCGTCGACTTCACTTACATGTCTTTGCTGGCTGCTGTGTGTTTTTGATCCCACGCAACGTCCCAGGAACTTTTGCTTCGCCAAGACAACAGACAGCCAACTTTTTGAAAGAGTCTGACAGGGCTACGATGAAGGAATGGCAGCAGGGCCATTTTTGGGCCTTTTTGGAACAGAGACGATGTGCTCAGCGCTGCTAGCTTAGATGAATGAATGTGGTATCAAGCTGCGTAAATGGGGGAGGGGAAAATACGAAGCAAAGTAAACAAATGACCACCGCCAGTCAAGATCGAATAAATTCCGAAAAGCAACAAAAACTAAACTCCAAATCCAGTAAACAAACAGTAAACAGTAAACAGAAAACGGTTTGATCCAATGCTGCATACATAAACGGCAACCAAATTATTTAAGTGCAGTCCCAACCCATGATCCATATCCTTTCCTCGAATGTAGTCCAGTCCAGTCCAACCCAGCCAGTTCCAGATGGCATCGTATCTACTCACGACCGAATCGTCTACAAGGGAATGCCCTTTTCCAACTCTTGGGTTGCCGGTGCTCGCGACAGGCCATCCTCTTCAACTGATGTTGCTTGCTGCATCCGACCAGTCGAGCCGTTTGCCGCTTCTGTGGCAGTTGTATCTGTGACGGCCCCAGGGGTCGCACCTGGCATAGGGGCGCTCTCTTCGCTGCCGGCCCACGACGCCGGCTTCCGCACCGACTGGACGAGGACGCGCATCATGGGCACAGACGCTGCCATGATGGTCACGGCCGGCTCGGCGGTGCCCCACAAGGTGAGGGTGACGCCGTCAAAGGCAAAATCGGGCGACGTCAAGGAGGGGAGGGCGGACGCCTTGATGAAGGCGGCGATGGCGGCGAAGACGCCCATGCTCATGGCGAGGGTGACGCCGAGCTTCTCGGCCGGGCTGATCTGGAGGTGGCGGAGGAGGAACCAGGGGATGATGGCAAAGGCGAGGTCCATGAGGCCGGAGTAGCCTAGTCGTGGGGGTTAGCGAGTGTGAGCAAAGCAAAAGGAGGACACAAAGCGAGCGCAGCGAGGACACAAAGCGAGCGCAGCGAGGACACAAAGCGAGCGCAGCGAGGACACAAAGCGAGCGCAGCGAGGACACAAAGCGAGCGCAGCGAGGACACAACAAAGCGAGCGCAGCGAGGACACAAGAAACTTACTGCTGGCGACAATGCCCAAGACGATGCCCACCTGCGGACGCCAGCAGGTGCCCGGCAACAGCGGCTGCCACGCCTTGGCCACGGGCGTGCACTGCAGCCAGTAGATGAGCGTGGGGCCGGCAAAGAACAGGTTCATGGACACGAGCGCAAACCACACGAAGCCGCGCAGGCGGTGCCAGCCGCTGGCGACGCGCAGCAGCGTAATGGCCCACGAGGTCTTGCTCCACGCCTGGGCGCAGATGCCAAACGTGATGGTGAGCAGGCCCGTCAGCGTGATGCGGTTGAGGCGGCCGGTGATGTCGGCGGCCGTGTCGTCGCCCGCCGTGGCGGCCACGATGGCGGCGGTGTGCTGGCCAAACCCGTAGGCGACTTCGATGGTCGTACAAACCTCGGCCGCAATCAGCATGGCCCACGCCGCCATCAGGAACCCGTCGTCCACGTGGAGGGTGCGGTGGCGACGCCATTTGCAGTAGAGGCGCGTGCCGAGAAAGGCGCCGGACACGGCGACGAGGACCCACACGGTGACACGCAGGGACGGGCCGAGGTCGACGCTGAGGCGGATTCGGTTGGTAGCATCGTGGGCCGTGGAGGGAGAGGTGGAGGTGGACGAGGAAGTGGAAGGCTCTATGCTAGACGACATCCTGAGTCGTATTGGTGGAGGACATGGCCCGGAGCGTGTGATGGCAGAGCGTGCGCTACAAGAACGACTAATTTTGTCGTCGAGGTGAGTATGGTCGAGTCGAGTCGGCAAAGAAGCTTTTCACAGCGTCAGAAAGGTCAAAATGTTATGTGGGGAAGGGGAGGGAGGCAGGGATAGGAAAATATAAAGAAAAAGAGACGAAGAAAAGAAGACATCGGGTTGAAGGAAGACGGCTTCATAAAGACAAACAGCGAGGGCGTCACAGGACATATACTCTCCAGGATCGTTGGAGAACAGAAAGGGGACAACACGTGGACCATCCGAGTCTGGGCCGGGTTCGAGCCGGTTCGATAGACCAGGCAAAATCCAGGACAGTTGCATACTGCAGTCTGCCGATTCTCAAACGAGAAGCAAGGATAAGACACATCTCGGAGGTTTTTGGTCTGCCTCGTTCTAGGCCCTTGGCCCACATCGGCCCAAAATTTGGGACGACGCGTAGATCATTCGTAGATGAGATCGGTGACCAGCGACCCGTTAGAGGAAGTAGACGATCAACCGATTTAAAAGCAATAAGCGAGAAACAAGCCGAAAAGAAGGGAAACTGGAAAACTGGAAAACTGGCAGACGATCAGGCCGGCACGAAGTCGATGCGGGGACAATCCCGGGGCAACTCATGTGCCTGAGAGCGCAAAGGCTGGTCTTGGTCGACATGAGACTCATCGAAATGCTTGCACTCTCCAGCATATAAAAGGACAGTAGAACAAAAGACACAAAGAACCAGTGATGAGAATCGTCATTATTATTATTGAATTAGGGATGTGGAAATGTTTTGCGTTTGCCCGGTTTTTATATTTCTATATTCAAATTGAAGTTCACTATCTGAGACTTCTAGTATGCACAACGCAGCGAAAGTACATTTCCCGTCATAGCACATGGTCCAAAAAACCCTTATCTGGCTACGACATGTTGTCATCAAACGAGTTCGATGTAATGGGAAGAGGCCATTGGAATTTAAATGTACGTTGGCAATCAAACATTCACAATCGAAACGTGTCAATGGGAAGAGGAAGAAAAGGCTTCTCCTCACCTCGCATTTCTGTGCTGCATTCCGCTTGTTTCAGAATCCAGCTGTCTCCAAACCAGCACGCTGTCACAGCCATTTCTCCCCATACGACGTCGATCTTTTGTGTCGAAAGAGCCCGAAATCTGGTCCATGGTATTGGACATTATGCATTCCGTCTGTCGTCTTTCGTCCGTATCCCTCCGTCGCCAACGGAGTTGTTGTTGTCGTTGTTGTTGTTGCTAATGGTACAAACTCTGCAGGCCGACTGGAGATGTGCAGACGTGAAATGACGACCAAATATATGAAAGTGCTTCCTCGTTAATTTTTCTTGGCAAGTCATATTCATCTTGTCTTATTTTGTTTTTATTTTGCTTTTTTTATTGTCAATTCCACTTGAGTTGCGTATCTACCTTGACATTGTGGATCTTCTCAACTTTCATCGATCAGATTATCAAATATACATATATGTATGTACATTTTAAGAATCCTTTCGTTTATTCCAAGCGCTTTTCAATATGTCTCCAAATTTCAACTCCATAAATCAACACAACCTTTTGGTCCTCCGTCTTGCCTGGCTTTCGGCAGTCAATCATCTTGGTATATCCGCGTAGAAAAAGGCCGAAATGCGCTGGCTGCAGCCTATGGACGGCCATTGTGCGGCACAAGTAAGCGTGCAAAGCGTACAGGATCGAAGGATGGCGTTACATGCATGAATACATTGAACAAAGAGAACAATACAGACTGTAGCAGACAGAGTCCCTGTCATTCGACGATGGCGACGAAGATGCTCTTGAAGGTACATCATCCCACACCAAACACACACCAATTTACAAGTACCTAGGCGCTGCGCAGCGTGGATGACAAATTCTGCCGTAGACTAGCACCGGCATCGTTCATCGCTCCTTCCTCACGAACATCGAGTGTTCACTGGCGATTAATAACCTCAAACGCCTCTTTCCTTCTTTCCTCTTTCCTTCTTTCCTCTTTCCTTCTTTCCTTCTCCCTCCCCCCCTATTTCCTCCTTTCGCATACATTCCACTGTTCTCGCTCACACACACAACTACCAATACACACGCCGCCATGACATCTCGCAACCCCCGCAGCTCGGCCGGCTGCTGGACGTGCCGGCTGCGGCGCAAAAAGTGCGACGAGGCGCGACCAGTGTGTGAGGGCTGCGCGGCGCTGGAGATTGAGTGTCTGTACAGCGAAGCGCGGCCGAGCTGGATGGACAATGGGCCGCGGCAGCGGGCGATGGCGGACCGCCTGAAGCTGGCGGTCAAGGACCGGGCGGCGTGGCGGCGGGAGAAGCGGTTCTTGCGGGACATTGAGACGGGCGCGGCGGCGATCCGGCTGCGCGAGGCAGACGACGACGTGGCAGGCGGTGCCAGCGGACGAGGAGGGGGCGCCGCACACATGTTTTCGGTGGCCTCTTTCGCGACGCCCGTAGCCCGTCCTGCGTCGCCGCCCGCGACGGCCTCGACGGCCTCGCCATCCGACAGCAGCGGCGCCGAACATGCGCCGACGGCAGCCGCGGCAACGACGGCGACCACCGCCCCGTCGTCGTCCCAGATGCCGCCAAATGGCACGTCTTCGGACGGCACGTCTGTGGACTGGACGACGCCCGCCTCGCTCGAACCGCCCAACCTCGACCGGGAGCGCGAGCTCAATCTCATGATGCTGTACCTCGACTTCGTCTTTCCCTTTCTGTACCCCTTCTGCCGGCCCACCATGCTCGGCAGCGGCCGCGGCTGGCTTCTGGTGCTGCTGATGAAGAACAAGGCCGTCTTCCACTCGGCGCTGAGTCTGTCGTCGTACTTCTTGGCTGTCGTGGCCAACACGACGCATGCACTCTCTCTGCTGTCCACGCCCGAACCCATGTCCACGCCCACGCCCACGCCCACGCCCACACCCACACCCCCGACGTCGGGCGGCGGCATCGACCTCGTCGATCATGCCAGCAACGCATCCGGCGACCACGGCTCGTGTCTCATGGCCATGGCCTCGGAGCTGCACAAGCAGCAGGAACTGTCCCTGCGGGAGCTGCAGCGCACCATTGCTGCCGTCTCCGGCGCGCCGCCGACCGCAGGCATCGGCAGCGAGAGCCACCTGGCCGAGAGCGCGCGGGCCCTCGAGAGCATCCTGCAGCTGCTGTCCTTTGAGGGCGTGCTGCAGCGCTTCGACCGGTGGCACGTCCACCTGGACGCGGCGGTGACGCTGTTTGAGCAGATTATGCAGCAGTACGGAGGAAGCCCCGAGGGCGCGGGCGCCTCGTCCACGTCGTCCACTTCGTCTCCCACAGGCTGGCCTGGTATCATAGCCCGGCTGTCCCCCTTCTCAGCGAACTTGGCTGCGCAGACAATGTCTCTCCCGGTGCCCTACGGCTCCGACCAGGCCGCCCTCACATTCTATGCCTCTGTCCTCCTGTATATGGACATTGTCACGAGCACCGTCACCGAGACGGCGCCGCGGCTGCAACAGCACCATGCCTCGCTGCTCGGCAGCTGCGAAGAGGGCAGCGCCGACGCTCGGTGTGGTAATTATGACGTATTTAAGCTGTTCGACTCCACCAAGAACTCCCAGCTGGCCGCCCACGAGGTCGTCGGCATCCGGAACTGGGTGCTGTTGGCGCTGGCGAAAGCGGCTGAGCTGGCCGCCTGGAAGAAGGAGGCGGCCGCGGCGCGCCGGCTGACCGTGGCCGAACTGCTGGGCCGGGCGGCGCCCATTGAGCGAAAGGTACGGGCCAGCCTGGCCTTGCTCGAAAAGAAATTAAAAAAGCAGGGGGACCCCACGTCCACGTCCATGTCCACCACCCCAACAGCCGGCCAGGCCGGCGAGCCCATCTTGCCCTCGGGCTTCTACTCGCGCTACATTGCCGCCGCCGAGGCACAGCTCGAAGAGGCCCTGTCGGCGCGCCAGGAGGCGTGCCGCGACCGCGAAAACGACCCCCACCACCACTACAGCCACGGCCGCCAAGACGACCCGTCGCTGCCGCCCCATTCGACCCATTCGACCCATTCGGCCCATGCGCACTACCGCGACAGCGCCGCCGTCCTGAGCGTCGACACCGCCACCTACATTTGGGGCCTGGCCGTCCTCACGTACCTGAAAGTCGTCGTCAACGGCTGGCAGCCCGCCGCCGACGACGTCCGCCAGTGCGCCGACGCCCTGCTGCGCGAGCTGGCCGCCCTGCCCTCCGCCTCGTGCCTCCGCCTCTTTGCCTGGCCCCTGTGCGTCGCGGGCTGTCTGGCGGCGTGCCCGCAGCAGCGCGCCCTCTACCCGGGCATGGTCAGCGAGATTTGCAGCGGCGAGCTGTACGGCACCGTCAACGAGGCGCTGCGCATCATGCGGGCCGTGTGGGCGGCACAGGACCTGCAGGCGCTGGGCGGCCGCAGCGGCGAGGCCCGCGTGCACGTGGAGTGGGACTTTGCGCGGTGTTTCAACATCTTGGGGCGGAGGGCCTACTTGTTTTAATGGGTGAATGGGAGCAATGCAGCAGGCGTTTATTGACGTGATACCTGGGCGACTGGTTTGGGGCATGATACCTGGATTTTGAATTTGAACAAATTAAATATTGAACAATGGGTGCATTTTGAACATCTATGAACTGAATGAAATGGGGATGGAACGAAAAGACCATCCAGCAGAGGCAAACGTCCCAGTCTGCCCTATTATTGCCGGGTTTTCTCACAACCCGGAGCCTGGTCGCCGCCAAAGTAAAGCTGTGCGTTTTGTGTGTTGTGTTTCCTTTTTGCAAGGCCCAGTCTAAATCCGTATAACTATACGTATACAAAACAAAACGAAAAAAAAGACAACAAATAAATATTAATAAAAAGCCGTTTGCTGTCAACTCCCGCCTATACAAACGTCTCCGGCGACGGCCCCGGCACGTCCATCTCGGCCGACCGGCCCGTCCGCGACGAGAACGGCGACAGCGACGAAAACGTGGCCAATGCGGGCAGTGCCGTCGTCTGGAGTTTGGGCGGGGCGCGCCGGCTCTTGATCGTGCCGACGCCCCGCAGCAGGCCCAAGTCCCACCAGCCCTCGATCCGTTCCAACAAGGTCTTGCGATGCGAGTTGCTGCTGGCAGACGCAGACAGCGTCCCATGGTCTGGGGCGGCCGGCTGCCTCGGCTGTGGCGGCGGCAGAATGGGCGAGATGGGCGAGATGGGCGACAGCGAGGCCGGCGAGACCAGGGCGGTCGCCTGCTGCCGCCGGACGGGCGACCGTTGAAACGCGCGCGGCCACAGCATCTCGCGGGCGAAGCGGCTGGGTGCAGCTGCCGCTGCAGATGTTGATGGCGGTGTTGTCGTCGATGCCAGAGGCAGGATGTATTTGGATGGATTGGCGGGCGTGTAGTGGGCAATGTGCGTGGGTGTGTATTTTTGGGTCAGCGACCGACTTGGTATCGGTCGACGGGCAGCTGCTTTGGTCGGAGCGGCAGCTGCTGCGGCCGGTATGGGCATCACGGCGGGCGGTCCAGGAGCGACGGCGGCATTTGGCGGCAGTGGAAGAGGAGAAGGAGGCGAGGAAAGAGGAGGCGGCGACTGCGTGGACGACATGAGCGCGGGCGACGCCGTCGGCGACGCAAACAGAAACACGGGCGACAGCGGCGTTGGGGTCCGCGGCGCATAGCGGCTGCTGGCGGCTGAGCTGCGGCCCGAGCCGTTTCCGTGTCCGTGTCCGGGCCCCGATGCGGACGGTCCCGTCTTGGTCTGGTGCGTCTGTGGTGGCGGTGACAAGGGTGTCGTCAAGCCGCTGTCGTACATGTCCTCCTTGTCCTTGTCGCTGTCCTCGCCTCCTGCTTCTCCTTCTCTCTCTTCGAAGAGCGGCCTCGCCGTCTTGATCCTGGGTGGCACGCGCTTCCGCTGAAGCCGTGACGCCCCGCGTCCCTATTGCGAACTGGTCTGCAGACTGGACGGCAAGCCCGCATGCAGATGCAGACCGGCCCTAGAGCTGTAGGGGCTGTCGGTGATGCTGCGGCCGATGCCGAGTGGCACGGCGGCCGACAAGCGTGGGTGCAGGCTGCGTCCGTGCGCCGAGGGAAACGCAGGTGCGGCCGCCGGCAAAGCAGCTGTCCCATTGTCTTGGCTGTAGAAGCTGCTGTGCAGGCTGTTGAGACTGTGGAGACTGTGGAGAGAGTGCAGGCTGCCGTGGATGCTGCTGTGGTCTTCAAAGTTGTCGTCGAAATCATCGTCGTCGTCGTGGTCGTCGTCGTGGTCGTCGTCGTCCAGGGCCCACGTCTTGGACTGTGACAGTTCGATTTGTTCCGCGGGGCGGAAGGCGACGGCGCTCGGCGGCAGGGCGATACGGGCAGCAGGGGCCATGGTGGTGGCGGCGGCGGGCCGTGTTGCGTTCTGTTGGGCCTGCGGCGCTCTCCGCTTGCCAGAGACTTGCAGGACCGTGACCAGGCTCGTCATGGCAAAGAGCACGCAGAGGGCCAGCACGAGACCCCAGGCGGCCTTGATTTCGTAGCATGTCGTCTGGTTGTCGCCGACAAACAGGATGTAGCTCGACGCCGGGGACGACGGCGTCAGCGAAATGGCCAGCAGGTCGTTGGCGTTGTCCGGGGATGGCATGGCCAGCACCGAACACGAAAAGCCCGCCAGGGGTCGGCCCAAAACAACAGCGACCACAACGAGCGGAATCAGAAACAGGACGTCGAGCGAGGCCGTCACCAGGTACGGCATGTGGGCGTCGTCGTAGGCGGTGGCCGACACAAGCGTCCATAAAAGGGCGAGGGATGCCGTCACGATGGTGCCCGTCACGGCGCCGGGGACGTCCAAGTGAGCATGCATGTCCTGCGCGACAAAGTGGCCGGCGAGACCGACCAGGGCGGCCAGGGCGGCGATCTGGCAGGGCCGGGCGCCGACAAAGGCGTAGCCATAGTAGCCATGGTCGCGGAGGGTCATACTGGTTATGGCAGCTGTGGTGGGAGTGTTGGAAAAAGAAACGACGGCGAATTATCGATTGCTTCCTGCGCTGAATGGTCGTCGAGATGAATGGGAGTATACCGTAATCAAAAGGTTAATGTAGGCAATGATTTCGTTGAGATCCGCAAAAAGGCCGTCAGGCCGTATTTAAACGCGTTGAACAAAATGGCAGACTGTTGGAAAGCCCAATGGGAAAAATGGAAGCAATATCGCCTCTGTGGTTGTTGAGGATGTAGTGAGTGGAAAGTAAGTAAACAGTGAAAATGTTGAAAGAATGTTACAATGATGCGAAGAGGCTGAAAGACACGAAGCCAAAGCAGCAAGAATAGTAGAGAGTCGACAATAGAGCAAAACAAAGACAGCTGAAAGAAGGAGGTTAAGAGCGTCGAACAAAAAGGCACAAAACAATAGTCAAAGGATGGACAAAGGGTTGGTGAGATGAAAGGAGGAACGAGTGTTGGCAAATGAGTGTAAGTGAGGATAGATGAGCGAGAATGAGAAAGAGAGTGCAGACAACAAAATGAGCAAACTGTTGGGGGAACCGAAAGATAATAAAGGTTTTTTTTAAAAAAAGAAAAAAGAAAAAAAAGAAACTATAAAATGAATAGAATAAAAAAGACCTAGGCGACAACAGAAAGAGTGAGTGGACGCGAGATGCCCCAGCACGCACGAGACGAAGGAGACAATGGAGACAAGGTAACGAAGCACAAGACGACGGACGCAACGACGTGGAGGACGAGGTGGACGAACACAGACAAAAACACCGACGAACAGGCGCCCACGCCGAATCCGGAGGCGTCGGTCGTGATGGTGTGTGCCAGCACGCTGTCCCGGTGTCGTGGTTCGCGAGGGGATCCTGGTCGAGACGAGCGGAAAAAGTCCCCAAGGTCGTCAGAAACAGCAAATTGCCAGCAATCTGGTTTTGTATGGAGTCTTTCTGTACTTCTGTAATTCCTGGCAGCCGTGTCTTGTCGTGCGTACTTTGTGTGTCTTGTGTTCCGTATGTCTCGCCTGTGTGACGAGAAACGAGCGTAGCAGACGAAGCAGGGCATGGATAAAGACTGGTCAAGGCTGACGAAGACCGATTTATGTATGTCCTCGGCTGCAGTGAGAGTGGTTTTTTTTTTTTTTTTTTTTTTGTCTGTTGATTGTTTCTTCTCTCTTACGGCGCATCCTATTTTGGGAGCATCTCGAATGGCCGTCTAGATCGATCGAACGGCAGATTGCAGACACAGTCATAGACGTGGCCGTGCATGCGGCCATAGCCGCAGCAGCTGTATGGCTATCCGCGGTCAGTGGCCATCAATGTCCGTCGATGGCCACGACTCGTTCCAGTAGCCGCCCGGATGGGATGCCGTGCAAGGAGAGTCGGCCATGCAGGCCGCGACTGTACCTGCATACCTGTATAAAGGCACACTTGTGCCATGCACACCACAGAGGGGTTTGTCCACAAGGCGCATTTTAGTTTGTTTCTCGTGTCTCGTTTCTCGTTTCTCGTTTCTCGTTTGTCATTTCTCGGTTCTCATTTCTCGGTGTCGTGGTTCTGCTGCAAAGGACCCAAGACCCGGGAAACGAAGTCCAAGGAGCAGGTACCAGAAAACAGGGAACGTCTGTCTTATCCTGGACGGCGCGTAGCACAGCAATATCGAATACGAAGTTTGGGGAAGATTAAGCGGAAGGAGGAGAAAATCAAGGTAGGGAGTGAGGGAGTGAGGGAGTGAGGGAGTGCAAAAGACTGAGAGAAAGAAGGAGAGAGACATCGACACGAGTCGCGGCTGTACAAACGAACAGGCGCAGTTGCTAACGTGCTCGCTCACAAACAAAAGTACACGTCCTGTGGCTGCCACTCTCGCTTGTCGTCAGGAGGGCCACTTGGGCAACGGAGCCCTACGACGACCCGACGAGTGTCGAAGTGGAACCGGACCCTCTTCTGCTGGCAGTGCCGTCCCAGGCTCTTTTCGTTTGCGTGCCGCCCGCTCGGGAACGACCCCTGTCGAGTCTCGATCAGACTTTTTTGGGTCAAGGAGAGTCTCCCCTGCACCCACCAATTAGCACCCCTGTCGCCTGGTCGTTCTCTGACGAGCTCCCCTGTCCTCAGCTCGCTAACTGGCGAACTGGCGAACTGGCGACCTGGAGGGAGGAGAGAAGGAGAGAAAAGAAACAAATAAATAAAACAATACTCCGAGAAGAAAAGCAGACAAATACGGAGCGACGCCGACGACTCGCAGGAATAGCCGCGGGAATGTTGGTTGGACGAGGTCGAGAGGAATGAGCGAGCGGCTGTGAATGCTCGTTTGAACAAGCGCTGCCGACGGGAGGCTGCAGGTTGAAGATTGCAGGGCTCCACGAGGACTCCTTGGACTCCAGTATGGGGAGAAGAATAAGGTCCCTATATTCACGCACCTCTGCTCGCGTTCTGGGCTTTTTGATGAGCTGAACCTTTCTGGGCGACCCCACAGCGCGGCCAAGCGTGTATGGCCGAGACACGGCGAGAGGCCGTGCGATTGGCAAAGCGCTGTCGAGACGGTGAAACACGAAACGAAGGAGAAAAACGAGTCAGAATGGGGAATGGGGACACGGCGAAACAGAAATAGAACAGAGAGAAGGGCCTTCTAAACTACGAACAGAAGGGCGGGTCGACAGCGAACGGCCTCATGTCAAGTCACGTCCACCCGAGTACATGTAGGCATACGACGGGAGAGTGGACGGCGATGTTTGAGACAGAGACGGCCGTTGTCGCAGTGCATTCAGTCAGGTTTGAGTCAGGTCATAATCGGACGACGTGCTTTGGTGACGCGGTGAATTGTATGGTATTAAGTGGTAGGTATTGCCTCGGACGTCGTCCATCCGGCTTGCCATTCATTAGGGTCTCTATTCTGGGACAGATGGAAAAGGAAAACAAGTAAATCGAGGGAGGAAGCCAGACATCAAATCGACAGAATTCAAACAGGCTTGTTGAACCAATGCAGTGCAAAGACAAATGACAAAAGACAAAAGACAAAAGGCCAAAACAATGCAGACGCGGACAAAATGGAACAGAAGGAAAAGGCAAGGGAAATCAGGAAAACGGAAGAAAAGGTATCGTAGGTCGTCTTTTGGACGTGCGCGGTCTTCAACACCCACAGGCCCCTCCGCGTCGCCGGCTCGGCAGCGCAAACACCTCTTCCCACTCCCGCAGCGCCATGCCGCCGCCGCGCTTGGCCTTGCGCCCGCCGCCCAGCACGGTGCCGTTGCGGCGCCGTCTCGGTCCGCCGCCGCCGCTGCCACTCGCATCGTCGACGCCGCCACCGCCCGCCATGCTGTAGCTTCGCGTGCTGCCGCCGTCGCTGGCGCCGGCGTTCCAGCTGGCGCCGGCGTCGCCGTACTGGATGCCGCTCATGGGGTCGTCTGGGTCGATCTCGCCGAGCTCAATCTTGGTCAGAATCATGCGCGCCATGCGGCCAAAGACCTCGTCGACGCCCTCGCCGCTCAGCGCGCTGACCTCGAGGGCGACGGGCACGTGCACGGACGTGGCCCAGCGGCCGGCCTCGGCGGTGCTGACCTCGCGGCCGTCGGGGGCGACGGAGGCCTTGAGCTGGGCGCCGAGCCCGGGGGCGGCGGCGGCGGCGGTGGACGCGGACGCAGACGCAGACGCAGACGACGCCGGGATGCTGGCCGCCGTGGTGGCCACCGTGGCCACGCTCGTGCCCAGGATGGATGCGGACGGCGACGACGACAGATACGAGGCGGACGACGAGGTCGGGGCGGCGGGGCGGCTGTCGGCGACGTCGATGAGGTCGGCGGCCAGGTCAGCAGCCAGGTCGAGCTTGTTGCCGACCAGCAGCGTGGTGAGGTGCGGCGAGGCCAGCGCGCGCGCGTCGTTGAGAAACGGCGGCAGCGCCGCAAACGAGCGGTGCGCCGTCACGTCGTACACGAGAATGGCGCCGGCGGCGCCGCGGTAGTACGACCGCGAGACGGACCGGAAGCGCTCGGTGCCGGCCGTGTCCCACAGCTGCAGCTTGATGCGCTTGCGCCGCGCGCCGCTGCCGACCTTGATGATTTTGCTCGAGAACTCGACGCCGATGGTCTGCGACGAGAGGACCCGCCACTCGTTTTTGACGAACCGGTGCAGGAGACAGGATCTGGGCGAACCATGTTAGCAAGCAGCACGCGATCCCCCTCTGACTCTGTCTGTCCTGCACGACTTACTTCCCCGACCCACTCGGCCCAAGCAGTATAATCTTGGCCAGGTAGTCGTACATGCTGCCGAGCTCCTGGTCGTGCGCCGTGCCGGAGCTGTCCTCGCTGGCGGCCGAGGACCCGCGCGGCCTCGTCATGTCGGCGGTGTCGTGGGGGAGGAGCGGACAAGTGGAAGAGGGCTGTCGGTAGGTCAGGGTCCCTGCCGAGTGCTGTCGGTCTCTGTCTCTTTGTCGTCGTCGTCGTCGCTCGATTTGCCGGCAGCGGAACAGTCCAAGGTCGAATCTCCGTGGAATAGCAAATGTCCGTCGAGGCAAAGACACACTGCGAAACGCTGTTGAAGCGAAGGATGCGAAGCGCGAAAGTCGGAATGCGGCGAGAGACAAACCAGCGGCAGGACGTTGACCGTGTGATGCTGTCGCGTTGAACGAGCAAAGTCGAGTCAACGCAGCAAAGCAAAACCGGATGACGCCCTCTCCTTGGCGAGGCCTTATCTGTCAGGTGGGTCGCACCTCCCTCGCTGCCCAAACGATTAGCACGGAACGACGGACGTGTGGGGCTCGTCGTAGAATGGCAGGAGCTTCCCGATGCTTTCGTTAGCGTGCCGCTGGCCTGGAAGGAACCATGGAGTCGCCTAGGAATGGCCTGGAATCACCTGAGACGCTCTGGGAACCTGCAAGCACGCTGCAAGCCCTGGACAGCTCCCACCATCCACTGTCCTGCAGCTCGCCCCATACGGGAAGACGAGCGGCCATGCGGAGCCCCGTAGCGGCGCTGTGGTTCACAGTTCACATGCCGAGGCTGCAGATTCCCCAGACAGCCGCTGGGTCGCTCTTGCTGGCGGCCGTTCCTGCCTTTCTGCCTTTCTGTCTTTCTGCCGTTCCTTCCGTCCATCATACCGACAGCACATCGGGCCACGACTTTCGCTCCTTCCTTCTTTTACGGTCAACTTCTTCCACCGTCTCAACATCGTCACCTCTTTCGACCTCCTCCTCTTCTACGCCGCCACCACACTTCGCCATGAAGATTGACGGCCGCACCTTTGTCATCTCCGGCGGGTACGTTCTGGACTGACTCCTTTCTTTTTTTTGTCCCATCAACCCCATCAACGCTAACAAACTACAGCGCCTCTGGCCTGGGCCGTGCCGTCGCCGAGGACCTCGTCCGCCACGGCGCCAATGTCGCGCTTCTCGACCGCAACGAAGACGACGGCCAGGCGGTGGCGGCGGCGCTCGGCGGCGACGCGGTCGCCAAGTTCTGGCCCGTCGACGTCACCGACACGGCGTCCATCACGGCCGCCGTGGCGGGCGTCGTCGCCTGGATCCAGGGCACGACCAAAAAGCCGCTGGGCGGCGTGGTGCCGGCCGCGGGCGTCGGCTTCCCCGGCCTGCTCCTCGACCGCAAGCTGCGGCCGCTGCCGCTGGCCCACTGGGACGTGGTCCTCAACATCAACCTGCGGGGCACCCTTGACCTCGTGCGCCAGGTGCTGCCGTACATGGGCGGCGCGGACGAAACGGACGGCGTGGTGGGCGCGCCCGACGGCGCCGACCAGGAGCGCGGCGTCGTCGTCATGGTGGCGAGCTCGGCGGCGTTTGAGGGCCAGATGGGCCAGGTGGCGTACGCGGCGAGCAAGGGCGCGGTGGCGGCCATGACGCTGCCGATGGCGCGCGACCTGTCGAAGCACGGCATCCGCGTCGTCACGATTGCGCCGAGCATGTTTGACACGAGCATGACGGCCGCCATGACGGACAAGGTGCGCCAGAGCCTGCTCAAGAGCATGGAGTTCCCGCCGCGGCCGGGGCGCGCCGACGAGTTTGCCGCGCTGGCCCGCCACGCCATTGAGAACACGATGCTCAACGGCGTCGTCATCCGCCTGGACGGTGCCAGCCGGATGCCGGCGCGGTTGTAGTGCGTACGTGCGTAAACGGAAATGAAAAGCACATTGTAAATGTAGTTCATGTATATAGGACATTCGATTGCATCTGTTTCGTCGTTCCAACCCGTTCCGCTGCCCTGCTACGCATGCTACGCCTGGTTATGCCAACCGGTTCGGCAGCGCCTCGCCCCGCGACCACTTCAACAGATTCTCCACCTGCGTCGCGTACCACGTCTCCATCGTCACCCGCTCGCCATACCCCATGTGCGGCGTCAGCAGCACCTGGCTGCTGCCGTCCGGGCCGCCCCAGCTCGTGGTCCGCCACGGGCTGTCCTGGGGCAGCGGCTCCACGTCAAACACGTCGAGCGCCGCGCGGTGGATGGCGCCGCGCCGCAGCACGTCCAGCAGGTCGTCCTCCCTGACGATGGGGCCCCGCGACGTGTTGATGAAGATGGAGTCCTGCTTCATGCGCGCCAGGTCCGTGCGCGTCACCAGCCCGCGCGTGCGCTCCGACAGCACCGTGTGGATCGCCAGCACGTCGGCCTCGCGGAACAGCGCCTCGCGCGACACGGCCGCAAACGTGCCCGCCGGCAGGCCCTGCGCCGCGGCCTGCTCGTCGGCCTTTTGCTGCGTCAGGTTCGCGCTCCACGCAATCACCTTCATGTGAAAGGCCTGGTGCAGCAGCTTCGCCGTCGCCGCGCCCAGCCGGCCCAGCCCCACGGTCGCGTACGTCTTGCCCGCCAGCCCAAACGGCGCGTGCCCCGTGTGCCAGCCGCCCGTCTTGACCGACTGGTCGTCCAGGGCCACGCTGCGCGCCACCGCCAGCAGCAGCGCCACAAAGTGCTGCGCCGTGCTGCTCGGGCCGGTCACACTCTCGCCCTTGGCCGCCCCCTCGCCGCGGTCGACCGACGCCACCACGGGGACGCCGTGCCTCTGAAAGGCGTCGAGGTCCAGCCCCCGGTTGCGGCCGCCCGTCGTCAGCAGCAGCGCGAGGTTCGGCAGGCGGTCGACCAGCGCGCCCGGGAACGGCGTGCGCTCGCGCATGGTCGAGATCACCGCAAACGGCGCGAGGCGCGCCACGAGCGCGTCCTTGTCGGCCTGCGCGGTGCTGGCGTGGTCGTACGGCAGCAGCGTGTCGGGGAAGTAGACGACCTCGAACGCGGCCGGGTCGAGCGTGTCAAAGTACGCCTTGGCATGGCCCTTGTAGTCGTCGAGCACGGCGACCTTGACGGGAGCCATTGTGGGCAGAGGGGATTGGGGTGATCTTGAGCGTTTGGTCGAATCAAGTCGACGCGTGGGCTTGACACTGCGTTCTGTGTCGTTGTACGTTGACAAAGTCGCTGGATATGACCGGATATCACCATCGCGGACGTCGGTTTCCCCCGCCGGCACCGGCACCGAGTCGCTGTCACGTCAAGCGTGGCTCAATGGCGTATGAATTAGAGAGGCTGAGAGGGAAGCGGTGGGCCATGCTGCACCCCGCAGAAGGAAAAGGCTGCGCTTTGACTCCACTTTTGACACCAGGATAAACGCAATTCCTCCGCATGAGAAGAGACGTAGTGACTCCGCGAATGGTTGGTCTCGGCAGCAGCATGCGGCAGGAATAAAAGCACCAAAAGGAGAAAGAAGATGATGCATGCAATGACAAAATGTAGACGACGAGAGCGTGGCAGCTGGGATGCCTCTCCGCCCATTCTCGAATCACAATGGCATCACTTTCATGCACGTCCTGGCTCCTGTACTGTCTGACTCTGTCGGAGGATTGAGACGGCTGCTTCAATGATAACCAAAAGCAAGCAAACAAAGAGCCTACGATCTATCATGCTCGAGTCGTATTGACCGCATTCAAGTATACTTCACGCCATGGGGTCAGCCTGGAACGGGGCATATGAAGGTCGCAATCGATCGATTTGAGCCTTTCGAGACTTCCTTTCTCCCCCTCGTCAAGACTCGCCGACGCAGTGCGTTGTCCATCGCAAGAGACACATCCTGGCTTGTGGGCAGCCTCGTCAAGACAGCCTGGCTGCCAGTTTGTCAAGATGGACCGTGACGTCCCCCTGACTCTCTCAAGTCATATCCAACATCCTCAGTGTGTTCTCCGGAGCAGACATATCGTATTCTTAAATGCATGGCCAATAAAACATCACATCAACAAATATGTGTCAATACGACACGTCAATACGGATTTGACCATTGGCATCGACGCACCAAAGCATCGACCCCATCAAGGGTCACACACCTCCCATGGCCATGCGTCAATGCCACATGGCTTCGGGCTTCTGCTTCTGCTTCTGCTTCTGGCTTCTGTGTCTGGCTTCTAGTGATTTCCTTTTTGAGCCCCTTTCCTCATTCCTTTGACTCATCTCGCGACAACTGGCTCCCCTTTTCTCTTCAACGCACGGTGCACTTAATTGTGTCTTTCCAGAAGACTGCCTCGACTGCCACGAAGAACAGAAAGGCGGTCTGCGTCAGGCAGGCTAGCGCGTTTCCATGGCCCCTGTTCCCCTTCTAGAAGAAAAAAGGAACAAAATTGGATCAAAAATTGGATCAAAAATTGGCATCGAAGAAAATTTCTTCGAGAAGAAATTGGACGGATTCTGCGACAGGGGCACAGGGGCGACCAGTGCTGACGAGGACAGGAGCAGAACAAGGAAGGAATGGTCCGTGAGCCGTTTTCCGAGACGCAAGGCAGCCCTGTTTTGTCCAGTGTTTTGTCCAGTCTCGCCAGTGTTCTGTTTTCCCAATACGTCTACGTCTTAGGCAAACAACAGGAGGTCCCTGCATCGTCATATCTTACAACACCTTCGCCCCGTCGTGTGGGAATTACAGAGGAGGTTCCTTTGCTATTTGCTTTTTTCTGGGTAGTCAGTGCTCCATACAAAAAGTGGCTTTTAATGAGTCCTGTCTTCTCCTTTGGGCACCGTATTTCCCACTTGCGCTTCTGGGGGCATCATGACAACCGATCGCCGCTACTCCTGACAGGCTGCATGCGGCGTCACCAACGTGCCTTGCATTTTGTGAGAAACCTGTGCTGCGCGTCTGCACGCTACTGCAGGAACGGAAATGCCCACGAAGTGCTCCCAAACTTGGATGCTGCACGGGGAGGCAAGGATTCAGGAGGTGGCGAAAACCAAATATGTTCAGTAATTGCATCGAATGCCATCACCACACAAACGGCTAGGCGGTTGTTTGATGTGAGCCGGTTCTGTGGAAGTATTCTACTAGGCAAATCGAAACGGGGCGACGGATCTGACCGGCAGCGCGTGATCAATTTTCGTGTTGTCTGAGGAGTGGAAAACAGACTCGGCGATGCATTGGCACGGCAAAGGCGGTGTGACTGGTCAAGCCGTCACATCTGTCACTCTGTCACATCTGTCACCTGTCACCTGTCACGTACTTTGTCTCTTTCGCATCACATATTCACATCCCGATTCGGGAGTGCCTGCGCATGCACATGCCAGAAAAGTGCGTCGCTCGTTGTCCTTTCCACGTGTTGCCGTGTTGCACGCCCCTTTATTTGCCACTGTTCGGTGTCAACTGTTGGCAGACGGAGTCCTCTCCAGGAGGCAGATTGCAAGGAGAGAGATCGGAGACGACTTTGCCAACAAAAAAAACCAGCTCCATCAAACCCAGAACAGTCGCTGATCCAAAAGGCCGGGATGCCCAGGTGACTGGAGAGACTCTGAGACTGGCTGGCTCCTGGCTACCAATGGAGCAACCCCGGTTGTCTGGTTCTCTGCTTGTCTGGCTGCCCGGCTGCCCGGCTCCCCGGTTCGTCGTCTTGTGTTTTCGTGTTGGCTTGTTGCCTTTCCTGGAGAAAATACGGTGAGCAGACTCGCAGGAAGCAGGGTCCTTGGATTGCCTGGCATACGGAGTGCTCTGTAACGACTCCATATTTACCGCCTTGGAAGCGGGAAATGAAGATGTGAGCGAGGACCCTCAGGACCCTAACCATACTCCGTAAACGTTGGTGTTCGGGCCTCATGATTAAGTGGTTGCGTCTCGACGTTGTATTTTATTTTATTTTTATTTTTATCTTTTTGCCAAGGAAATACCCTCGGAGGCAAACCGGCAGAAAGGCAGGCGCGGCAGGACAAAAAAAAGGAAGAAAAAGAAGACGAAGAACCTCCGAAGCGACCTTGTTTCGCATTCTGCATTCCATTCCGCAGAAGCCGTTTCGTTTCCTGGCAAAGTCAGGAACCAGCAAAAACCAAGAAACGGGACCCCGCCCCTGGTCTGGAGTTCCACGTGGAAATGAATAAACGAATAAAGGTTGGCTCGGTTGGGAACGAAAAAGTGAGGAAAGAGTGGAGACGATCGTGTATTTGCCGTCTGTTTGATACCATGGCGGATAATACTCGTCGTTGCTCGTTTCGATTTGCCGCCTTCGGCCACCAAAGATAGTCTCCAGTTTGATTACAGATCCAAGTTTTTTTTTTTTTCTCCCTTTCCCTTGACTCTGTGAACAAGTGCGTCTCGACGCATTTGTACTTGGTTTGCCTCCGGGTCTTTAAAAAATTGAAAACCCGGAAAAGCGATAGAGAAAGGACAACAGAAAGAGCCATGTCCAGGAACCGGGGACTTCAGCACATACGGAGTACGACGGACACTCTTGTTTCTGATGGATTCCACGACTTCCGACATATGAAATACGATTGGCTGTGTGCACGTTTGTTGGTGACAACCTAGCTGTCAGATTCTTGCCTTTCTGGCACAAATTCACACCCGAGCCTTGCCAAAATCGGCGTAGACGACTGTGCTGGGGGGTTTATCCTTCCACCCTTTTGGCACTTTGACTGTTTTGCCAAAACGGGAGAGAAGAGGACAAGGGAAAAGGAAGAAACAAAAGAAAAGAAAAACAAAGAAACTCGTAAACTCGTATTTACGCACAGATGTCGAGAATGTTGGTGACAGCCCAACTGTTCAACCGCCGAAAAGAGCGTCATGACACAAACCATACCGGACATTGCCGACGTAAAACTGGCATGGCTCAGCCACGGAGCAGCCATTCCGTATATGGACGACTCACAATGAGCGTATGCCATAGCTTACCCGTTGATGACGGCAGCGTTGGCTGTGGCGTTTCGCGGTTATTTCTCCTTTTGTCATGATCGACCGTTTCTCGTACTCCGTCAAGCCACTTGGGGGAGTCCACGTCGTCACATGGCCTTGTCACGTTGTTCTGTCCCGGCTGTTTGGTCCGCAAGGCGAACACGAGGATGTGATTATGGGATGTGCGGACCGGGCGAGGCTTGTAGGTAGAGGCTTGAATGAGGGCTGAAGGAGGGCAGTTGTTTCACCTTAGCGTACATCGTATTGAATTCAATACTTGGCAGTTTCCATGGCCGAGTCTCAGCCAGGAGAGGAGTCTTGCATTTTTAGAGGGACAGAATCATCTCTCGGCGTTTTTTCTTTCTCTTTTTGTGCTTCACGTTTTACCCCATATCATCTTGTCACGCAGGGCCGAGGCGATTGTCCGCGCAACTAAAATCGGTTCTTTTTTTGACAGCCTCGACTTGTCACAAGACCCGCAAGGGATGGCGTAGCTTTGTTCGTTTTTGTTTTGCTGTTGTAGTCAATTGCCCACAGCACTCTCATTAGTTCGCCTCCCCCTTGACTATTCGACTAGCCAGGCACATGGAGGCACACAGACACACGGGGCGCGCGAGACAAGAGAAACGGCGTCGCGGGAACAAGTCTCAATTCAGGTTTGAGACGATACGGATCGTCGTTTTTTCTTTGTCTCCGCAAACTGCGCAGCAGTGAGAAAACAAAACTGAGACACGCCAGGGACACTATTGACGTGGCTTCGCATTGGGAAAGCCCAGCGCAGTTGGTTCAGCTGAACAGGTGGTGGTGAAAGGCACGGACGCAAGGGAGCCAGCACGAGTTGCCTGGACGGCCGGGCACACTTTTCACAACGTTGCGCCCGTGTGAGTGCGTAAAGTGGTAGAGTGCGAGAGCAAACCTCGTTTGTCGTGGGCCGTCTGACAATGATCTGCCCATGGATAGATTCTTGCCGCCGTTCCCTCACAACTCGGCTCAATATTTCGTCTCGGACGCGGTGATGTGCCTTTCGTAAAGCGAGGACTAGTGAGGTGGTGCGAGGCCCTGCTAAGCTTCGCTTGCCCGGTACGAGAGCGAGACGAATAAAAAAGGTTGTTTCCGATGGTCCCGCCGGAGGGACATCCACCGTTTTCGTCTATTCCATTGCCCGCTAGTCACCGTTTTCTGTCATC